GGCTTTTTCTTTTCTTTTCTTTTTTTTTTTTTAATTGTGAAAATACTGTACAGAGGGGTTACAATTACATGGGCAAGATAATGAGCACATTTCTTATCAAGCATTGTAGCCTCCTCCTTTGTTTCCCCTTCCCATCCTCCCCCTGCCGCCCCCCCACTTCTGGCTTTTTCTGAATAGTTTATTGAGATAAGAGTCTCACAGACTTTCTTGTGCAGTCTGGGCTGGCTTTAAACTGTGATCCTCAGATCTCAGCCTCCGGAGTAGCTAGGATGTCAGGCGTGAGCCAGGGACACCCGGCTCACTTGGCTTTTTGGGTGGTTTATTGTAAATAAGAACCTCACACTTTCCTGCCTGGGCTGGCTTTGAACCTCGAAGGTCAGATCTGAGCTGCAATCCTCAGATCTCAGCCTCCTGAGTGGCTGGGATTACAGGTGGGAGCTACGGATGCTCAGCTGGACACGTTTCCAAGTTGTGGGAGGAATTATTGAAGATATCAGCACAGTGCCCAACTCAGTGCCTGGCCAGGGCAGCTCCAGGGTGGGAGGCCGGGACATGAAAACGCTTATGTTCCCAAGTTGATCTGCCACACTCTCCCTCCACCCCTCTTCACCCTCACCGCCCCCCCACGGGGGTGGGGGCTTGAGGAACCCAGGGCTCCACACTCCACATTCCCAAGACCCCAGCCCGGAATTGGAGCTTTGTTCCATTACCCGTGAAATGGAACGGAATTAGAATTTGGAGCTGGGGCCAAAGGAGATGGGGTGAGTTTGGGATGGGGGGGCGCTCCCAGGTTCAGGGAGATGAGAGACTGGAAACATCCATGCTCATAAGCAGCCTTACTCAAGCAACACAAGTCTGTAATCCTGGTAATGGGGGACCAGAGGGAGGAAGATGGTGAAACCAGCTTGGACTGCAGAATGAGACTGTCTTAAAAGCAAATGCCAGGCACCAGTGTCTCACACCTGTAATCCTGGCTACTCAGGAGGCTAAGATCTGAGGATTAGAGTTCAAAGCCAGCCTGGGCAGGAAAGTTCGTGAGACTCTTATCTCCAATAAACCACTTAAAAAACTTGCTGTGGCTCAAGTGATAGAGCACTCAACTTTAGCTGAAGAACTGAGGGACAGCACCCAGACCCAGAGTTCAAGCCCCACGACCAACAAAACAACAACACAAAAAGCCAGAAATGGTGCTTGGCTCAAGTGATAGAGCCCCTGTCTTGAGCAAAAGAAGCTCAGCAACAGTGTCCAGGCCCTGAGTTCAAGCCCCACAATTGGCAAAAAAGGAAAAAAGAAAGAAACTAGGACACAGAGAAGCCTTGCAGCCCTTATTCTAAAGATCTCCAGACACACCCAAACCCTGCCCCCAGCCTCCTACGGTAGTGGAGGGAAACCAAGTCAAACTGTTTCTCCTCCTGTAATGCCCCTCATTCCTGTGACCCCACTGGGAAGAAAGCAACCTGAATTCCATTCTAACGCAATCCACCCGCCTGCTAAAGAGGCAAAGGCCTCTGGCCCCAACACCCCCACCCCCTCCAAGTTCAGAGCCAGTAACAAGTCTAGGCCCCAGAATTTGTCATTCATCTACAAGCTACATCTATAACTTAGGCTGGGCACCAGTGGCTCATGCCTGTCATCCCAGCTACTCAAGAGGCTGAGATCTAAGGGTCAAAAGTTCAGAGCCAGCCCAGGCAGGAAATGTCTGTGAGACACTTAGCTTCAATTAACCACCAAAAAAGTGAAAGTGGAGCTATGGTTCAAGTGATAGAGCACCAGCTTTGAGGAAAACAAGTCAAAAAAGAAAGCACCCAGGGAGGAGGACCTGAGTTCAAAAACCCCAATACCAGCACACACAAGATCAAAAGAAGCTATGAAGTAGGGTCTATGCCAAGCCACTGGGGGAGAGGGGGCACTCCTTGCTGAGCCTGTACCCCGTTGGCTACACAAGAGGCTGAGAATAAGAAACCCAATGAAGGAACACACAGGCAAGATCTGGAGGGGCCCCCGCTAAGGGGGCTTCTATCTGTCTGCACAGGTTCGAGAGGCTCCCACGCCCCCCCCCCCCCCCCCCCCCCGCTCCACCCGAGGCCCCCAACATGTGTGGGTTACTGCCCTGCGCACCTGCACGTGTTCAGCTCCGGACACTCGGGGACCCCAGCCGGCTCGGGGCAGGATGGAGGCCTCACAGGCGGACCTCAGAGAGGCCTGGCGAAGCGTGTCGGAATGAGGCTGGCTGGCCTGTCTGCCAGGATTCCTCCCTCAGACCCCTTTATCACCCTGCCCGGAAGACAAGCTCCGTCTCGCGGCCTTGCCTGGGGGGCGGGGGAGGGGTTGGCCCCAGGGGAACCTGACAGCTCCTCACTCAGCGCCCCCGTTTCCTGAGTTCAAGGCCCAGGACTAGCACCAAATAAAGTTAATGAATGAAAACCAGAGAAATATTTTTTGGGGGGGAGGGAGGGAGGCTTGAACTCAGGGTCTGGGCACTGTCTCGGAGCTTCTTTGCTCAAAGCTAGTGCTCTACCACCTGAGCCACAGTGCCACTTCCAGCTTTTTCTGTGTATGTGGTGCTGAGGAATCGAACCCAGGGTTTCACGCATGCTAGGCAAGCACTCTACCACTGAGCCACCTTCCCAGCCCCTAGAGAAATGCTCTATAAGGACAGCTTCTCCAACTAGCTGGCATTCGGACCCCCTGCAGCCCAGATGCCACCACCCTGGGCACACCCCGGTGGTCTTCCTGAGGCTGGGGCTGCAGATTACAGCCATCTTCCCTCCTGGGCCTTCCATACCACCCTGGGGGTCTCTTCCCCAGCTCCCATCCCTGCTAGCACCAAATAGTATTGTGGGGGTGTGGGCCACTCTACTAGAGCCACAGCTCCACTTCCAGTTTTTTGCTGGCTAATTGGAGATGACAGTCTCGCAGACTTTCCTGCCTAGGCTGGCTTTGAACCACGATCCTCAGATCTCAGCCTCTTAGGTAGCTGGGATGACAGGCATGAGCCACCGGCGCCAGGCTCATTTCTGGTTTTCCTCTCTTGAGAAGCAGACTTATCCCAGAGCTGTGATTTGCATATGCAGGTAAGCACTTCTGAGGACATTTGATTGAAATTATGAGGACCAGCCTGACCTAGTGGGTCTGCCTGTAACCACAGCCACGGAAGCTGAAGCAGCATGTCCTTAAGTACAAGGCCAACCAGGTCAAAGTTACCAATATCCTAATACACTCCTTAGTAAGTGTTACACTCCCTAATAATATAACTATATAACTACATATAGTTATATATGTAACTATATAGCTATATATATATATATATGTATGTATGTATGTAAAGCAAAATACAGCAGGAGAGAACAATAAGCCCTAGTTATATTCAGATTTATCACAAGTATTTGGACCCAGCCCTGGCTGACTGAGAACTTTGTCCTCAGATTTTGGTTCTTGTTTAGTTGGGATTACAGGCCTATGCTCTTTTGCTAGATTTGGAAACTCATTTAAGAGCTGATTAACACAAGAAAAGCACCTAAGTACCTTGATCCAAGCCTATAATCCCAGAAGAGGCCCAAGGATGCACAGTTTGGGCACAGACTGGCTCAGTTTATGAGATCTTGACTCAAGAATAAATAAATCACAGCAGGGCACCTGGTGGCTCACACCTGTATTCCTAGCTGCTCAGGAGGCAGAGGTCTAAGGATTGTGGTTCAAAGCCAGCCCAGGCAGGAAAGTCCCTGGGAGTCTCATCTACAATGTACCACTCAAAAATCAGAAGTGGCACTGGGTCTCAAAGTGGTAAAGCATTAGCCTTGAGTAAAAGAAGCTCAGGGACAGTGCCCAGACCCTGAGTTCAAGCCCCAGGACAAAAATAAATAATTAGGAAAAAAAAGTATGTTTTAGTAAGTTTTGAGGTCTTCACAAAAGAGAAGGTAGATACTGAATTATAGTTATTTAATACCTAAAGCTCTGCGTATGTGTATACACATATGCACACATTTACACAAAAAATACATATACATATATGTATATACACATGATACAGTCCATGTATATATACTATGTTATATAGAGTATGTATAATGTATATGATATAATGTATATGTATGCCATATATTATATACATATTCCCATATTATATATTATAAGATGCATAATATACACATTATATATATATATATATATATATATATATATATAATGTGTGCGTGTGTCAGTTCAAGGACTTGAACTTATTCTTTTTTCTTTTTCAATCAAGGCTGGCCCTCTTCTTCATGTATTGTATTTTTTGCTTTTTTGCCAGTCCTGGGGCTTGAACTCGGGGCCTAGGCGCTGTCCCTGAGACTCAATCTGCTCAAGGCTAGCACTCTACCACTTGAGCCACAGTGCCACTTCTGGCTTTTTTTGGTATGTGGTGCTGAGGAATCGAACCCAGGGCTTCATGCATGCCAGGCAAACACTGTACCCCTGAGCCACATTCCCACCCCTCTCTACCACTTAGGCACAGCTCCACTTCTAGCTTTTTGCTGGCTAATTGGAGATGAGACTCACAGGCTTTCCCACACAGGCTGGCTTCAAACTTTGATCCTCTAATTGCAACCTCCACATTTGGTTTTTGGTGGCCTAATTGGAGTTAAAAGTCTCAAGTACTTTCCTGACCTGGATGGCTTTGAACCTTGATCCTCTGGATTATAGGTGTGAGGTACTTCCCCCCACCAGATGTACTCTTAACTCAAGGCTCCGTCCGTTTGCCAGGATGTAATCCCGCATAAAGTGAAAGAACCTGCGGTCCCCCTGTGAGGATAGAGGTCCCCTGTGTGTGGTACCAGTACATGGAAATCAACCTACAAAATCTGGGGGTCCTGGCGTGGCATCAAACTGGAAGTAGGGGTTGACAGCAAAGAGGTGGGATTAAGGGTGTGGCTCCCTCTGCCCTGTACAGTATATAAATCCAGGATGATCTCAGCCTGGCTTTATTCCCAGAGCTGAGGGCTACAACTCTGTCCTGCACCACCATGTCAGGCTCCCTGGTTCTTTCTCAAGGTGAGCGGTGGGTTGAAGACAGGGGAGGGTGCATCAGGTCCCTCAGAACCCAATACAAGCTCCGGAGAGACAGGGTGATGCCCTGAGAGTGGATACAGGGGCTTAAACTCAGAGCCTGTGTGCTGTCTGTCAGCTCTTTTCTTCAAGGCTGGCGTTCTACCACTTTGAGCCACAGCACCACTTCCAGTTTTCTGGTGGTTCATTGGAGCTAAAAGTCTTAGGGACTTTCCTGCCCAGGCTGGCTTTGAACCTTGGTCCTCAGATCTCAGCCCCCTGAGTAGCTAGGATGACAAGCGTGAGCCATGGGCGCCTGGCTGCCAGCCATCTTTAAATCCCAGATCTTCCTCCTCCTTAACTGCTAGAGGGAGTTCCCATTCCCTTTTAAGTAGGAGCTTGCTGCTGCTCATGTCTGGCTCAATGGAGATCAGAGTCTCACGGACTTTCCTGCCCAGGCCGGCTTTGAACGGTGATCCTCAGACCTCAGCCTCCCCAGTGGATGGGATGACAGGCGTGAGCCAGGGGTGCCTGACAGGTTGCAGGTTTTGAGCATGGAATTGATGGCCTCTTCTTTTATATTTCTGTACTTACAAGGCAAGCCCCAGAAATTTCCCCAGAGGAAGAGAACCATCTTCACGGACGATCAGCTAAAAGCTTTGAACTCCATGTTCAGCAGGAACCCGTACCCAGACCACCACCTCAAGAAAGAAATGGCTGCAAAAATGAACATGGACCCAATGGTGCTACAGGTTAGAAAGGACCCACCCCTGCCCCCCTCCCAGCTGCCGTCTTGCACCCCCTTCAACTCTCCCAGCCCCATCTCAATGCTGTAGCCAGGATTTCTTGGGCCATCCTTCCCTCTGTACCTCCATACCCCCACCACAAGGCCAGGCAAACTTTTATTAAGAACCAGGAAGCAACTACTTTTCTTCTTGAATGTGTCAATCCTAGGACTTGAAGTCAGGGCCTGGGCACTGTCCTTAAGCTTTTCTGCTCAAGGCTGGTGCTCTACCACTTGAACCACAGCTCCACTTACACATTTTCAGTGGTTTCTTGGAGTTCAGAGTTTCATGGCCTGGCACCAGTGGCTCATGCCTGCCATCCCAGCTACTCAGAAGGCTGAGATCTGAGGATGGAGATCCAAAGCCAGCCTGGGTAGGAAAGTCCATGAGACTCTCGTCTTCCATTAACTAGCACAAAGCAGGTTAAAGTAAAACCATGGCTCAAGTGATAAGAGAACCAGCCTTGAGCAGACAAGGCTCAAGAGACAGCATCCAGGCCCTGAGTTCAAGCCAAAGGACTGCCACAAAAAAATAGAAATAAGTAAATAAGATATGTCTTTCAGGCTAGTTCTCAGGAAAAGGTAAGTAGAGTCAGAGCTGGCCCAGGACTCCCGGCACTCGGGGCAGGGGGAGGGGGAAAAACATGCCTCTGAAATGCGCCCCCACCCCCACCTGTGGGGTATGTTCCCATGCAGGTGTGGTTCAAGAACCACCGGGCAAAACTAAAGAAATTAAACTATGGCATCCACGCAGCCCGGCCCCAGCTCTTCCCCAGGGAGGTGGCCAAGGTCAGGGCCAAGGTCAGCCCTGGGAAGACTGAGGTGGTGGAGAGATCGTCACCTTCCTCACCAACTACACCGCCCACGCCACCGCCGCCGCCGCCACCACACACGCTACCCATGCTACCCACACCCGGTGCCCTGCATGCTGCCCTCGGGCCAGCTCTGGTCTACACCCATGGTGCCACACCCGCGTACCAGCTCCGAGTGTGCCCCATGCACGAGGGCCATCGTGGGGGTCACAGGGTCATCCACTTCGGCTGCTGTGAGGACTCCTCCATCTACTGCCTCCACCCCATCTCCGCGTCCCCCAGCACCTACCCCAGCCGCCTGCCTGCCCCCAAGCCCTGCGGGGAGGGGAGAAGGTAGGCATAACGTCTGGTCCCTGGGTTTTGTGTGGTTTTGTTTTGAGAGGGGGGATCTTGCTATGTGGCCCAGGCGGGTCTCAAGCTCTGGAGCCTCCTGCCTCCACCTCCCCAGGACCTGGGTTGCGCTGCCATGCCCCGGTTATCACATGCTGTCATGGCAGTAAATACTTTCCCTGTAGAACTAACTAGAAGCCCACACAGCAGTGTGGGTGGATTTCACCATCATGATCCGTGGGGAGAAAGAAAAGAAAAATGGTAGTAGCAAGGTTGCCGGTGGCTCATGCCTGTCATCTGAGCTACTCAGGAGGCTGAGACCTGAGGATCGCGGTTCAAAGCCAGCCTGGACAGGAAAGTCCGTGAGACTCTGATCTCCAATGAATCACTAGAAAACCAGAAGTGGCGCTGTGGCTCAAGTGGTAGAGCGCCAGCCTTGAGCTGAATTGCTGAGGGACAGCGCCCAGGCCCAGAGTTTGAGCCTCATGACTGGCACAAAAAGGAGGGTGTGCAGGGGGGAGAGTGGAGAGGTCATGGACGATGCTGCACGCCCACGAGACCATCCTGGGACCCCATGTGCCCCAGGACGCCTCCACCTTGGGCCCTGACCGCCCATGACCCTGGCATTTCTCTCTCCCTCTCAGTACAGGAAGAAACATTCTGGAAAGTAGTGTTATCTGCCCGGACACCAGCTAGCCAAGGCAGCAGCCGTCCCCTGAGGTCCTGTCACTTGAATTTCACCTCCCAGAACTCCAGCCACAGAAGAAACGATGGCAGACAGGCCCAGTAGCGTGGACCACAGGGCCCTGCCCTCCTGTGTGCATGAATGGATGTATTTATAATGCATGAGTGTGTTTATAATCAATGTGTAATAAATATGTAAAGCACTCTGCAGGGGCCTTTTCATTACTGTGAATTCCCAGCTGGCAGGGTGCCCTTCCTGGGCTGAGAGAGCAGAGGCAGGTGGCAAAAGGCAGGGGGGAAGGGGAGGGGGAGGGGAAGGGAAGGGGGAGGGGCAGCCACCACTGTCTGCAAACCGGAGGCTGTGCACATGCACGCATCCAAGAGCATGCCTGTACTAGGATTTGAACTGGGTTCTCTTCCTCAAGAATGATGCTCCGTTACTCTTTAGTTCCAACCTTAGTACTAGCACAGCAACAACAGCAAAAATCATAATAAAATTATAAAACCGATTAGGTATTTAGTTGACTGGAGGGGAGATGTACATGCAGGCCCTGGATTGGGGCAGTGGGGCCCTGGGCTGGTGGGGTCTCGGGATCTGGGCTGGATCCTGGCATCACAGGGACCGGGTTGGGAGGCCTTGAGCGCAAACAGTGCTACAGAGGCAACAGAGAGCTCAGAAGTCAACAGAGCCTGGGCACTGGTGCTCATGCCTCTCATCCCAGCTACTCAGGAAGCTGAGATCTCAGGATGGTTGGTTCGAAGCCAGCGGGGGCAGGAAAGTCCGTGAGACTCTTATCCCCAATAAACCATCCAAAGCTGGAAGTAGAGCTGGGGTTCAAGTGGTAGAGAAAAAGAGTGAAAAAAGCTCAGGGACAGCACCCAGGCCCTGAGTTCAAGCCCTAAGGACTCAGAGGCACACAAGCCAAGTGAACAAACAGGTTGAGCGGGAATTGCAGTCTGCAGTTCTAGGATAAAGATCTCATTCCGTTGGGACCAGCAGGGTAGAAGGAAGCATTTGCCTTAGGGAAACGAGGAGGGGGGAAGGGAGGGATGCGTGCAAAATCTGGGCACCCTACTCTGCTTTTTTTTTTTTTTTTTTTTGTTGGTCATGGGTCTTGAGCTCTGGGCTTAGGCAATGTCCCTCAGCTCTTCAGCTCAAGGCAAGCACTCTACCACTTGAGCCACAGCGCCACTTCCAGCTTTCTGAGTGGTTTATTGGAGATAAGTGTTTCATTGACTTTCCTGCTCAGGCTGGCTTTGAACCCTGATCCTAAGATCTCAGCCTCCAGAGTAGCTAGGATGACAGGCGTGAGCCACCAGCGCCCAGCTCCTAATCCACTTTTCAGATTGTCCCTAAAAGTCTTCTTCGTCCAATCTTAATTGACACAGTGGCCACAATGTTAATAAGCTCATCAAATCCGGAGCTCCACACAGAGGCGATGCCTCCAATCCAGCTGAACGCCCTCTGCCCATCCATACAGGCTGTTGGACCCTCTTCTGAGGGGACCGCAGCAGCGCCATTCCACAGCCTCCTCTCTGCAGCTGCCTGGATTTCTTTTCTTTTTTTCTTTTCCTTTTGTCTGCTTGTACTCAGGGCCTGGGCACTGTCCCTGAGCTCTTTTGCTCAAGGCTAGTGCTCTACCACTTGAGCCACAGCCAATTTTTGAGTGGTTCATTGGAGATAAGAGTCTCACAGGGACTTTTATGCCTGGGTAGGCCTTGAACCGTGATCCTCAGATTTCAGGCTCTTGAGTGGCTAGGAGGACAGGCCTGAGCCACCAGCGCTGGGCCAGTCTGTATTTCTCTGCCCTTCAAGTTGTGTCTTTTTCCTTCTTTATGTTCTTTCTCCCACTCGGTCAGTCTACCACCGAGCTCCCCACATAGCTAGGATAAATGGCAGGGAGGCATGCACGTCTTTCTCCCAGCCTCTAAGTCCTGCTTAGCTGAGCAACAGCCCTTCAGTCCTCCACATCACAGCTTCCCCCCATGTTTTCAACTCTGGCTGGGTAGGAGAGCAGCCCCTGGGCAGCCAGAATTGGGTGGAATGAAGCCGAGCAAGGAAGCAGATTAATCTCCCGCCACAGACAGGTTCTAGAACTTACTGCAGGTCGGCCTCCAGGTCTGGGTAAGGCCTGTATTTCTTATCTTTCTAAAACCTGCACAAGAACTCTCGGGTGGGAAATCCTCTTCTATCTATGTTATTCTCTCTCCTGTGTGGCCCTGGCAGGGACAGAAAACTGTACTGTTTTCTTTGTTCCCAACTCTGTAGACCTGTTAGTGTGTGCCGTAATCCATTCAGGATTTGGGTTTTTTTCTTTTGTTTGTTTTTGTCTTCCGACACAAGATCTCCCGGTTGTAGCCTAGACTGGGCTCAAATGCTCATTCTTGGACTGAGCTGTTCATTTCCCTAAATGAATCCCGGCGCCCAAAACATTTGTTTTTCTTTCAAAGAGAAGATTAAAGAATGTACAAATAGCCAGGAGAATGTGGCTCATGCCTGTAATCCCAGATATTCAAGAGGCTGAAATATGAGGATTGAAATTCACAACCAGCCCAGGCAGGAAACTCTGAGACTCAAAAAAAAAAAAAAAAAAAAAGCCAGAAGTGGAGCTTCGGCTTAAGTGGTAGAGCGCCACCCTTGAGTGAAAAAGGTAAGGGACAGGGCCCGGAACCTGAATTTAAGACCAACAGCTGACAAAAAAGAAGAAAAAGCAGAGCTTCGGGTGATAAATCACTATACCAGCACCCCAGGCCACCAGGAACTCTTGATCTTGTCTTAGTCTTGTTTTGTTTGTTGGGGGCTCAGAGTGGCTTTTCCGCATTTGAAATAACCATCCATTCATTTCACAAGGGGGTTCCATTATGATGCATCCTTTACACACAGCACACATGAGACTCACCAGCCTCTCCCTTAAAACCAATCTCAACAGCAGGGCGCCGGTAGCTCATGCCTATCACCTAGCTACTCAGGAGGCTGAAATCTAAGGATCACGGCTGGAAGCCAGCCCAGGCAGAAAACTCTATGAGACTCTTCTTAACCAATTTAGCACCCCCCCCCCAAAAAAAAGCCAGAAGTGGGTCTATGTCTCAAGTGGTAGAGCACCCTTGAGTGAAAAAGTTCCAGAACAGTACCTAGGCTGAGTTTAAGCCACACGACCACCACCAACAAAAAATTCTCAACAAACTTCATTGCTCCTTTTTTTACACCTGGACATATTTGGGTCATATTCACCCTCTTCTTCTTTTTGTTTGCCCCTGAGTGCCGGGATTCTAGGCATGTGCTACCACATCCAGCTTAACTCTACGGTGTTATGTTTTGAGATGAAGGTCGATGTTGTCCAAGCCCGTCTTGGGGTCTCAGACTCACTTGATTCTCCAGCTCCAGCTTTCCCAGGTAGCTGGGACTATGGCTCTCCCCTACCACTCCCAGCTCCCTTTGGAGCTATACATGGATTGGTGTCCCCAACCCCCACCCATCAGCCTGGATGGCAAAGTCATCAGGTACAGGATGGGACTCAGGGACTCTACCTCTCCTCCAAAATCCAATTCCGGGAAAGAGACAGCGGTGGCTGGAGGGCAGGGAGGGGGGTGTGTCCAGCCCTCCTCCACTCAGGGTGAGCAGCCCGAGCAGCCCTGGGTGTATAAAAGACGGAGAAAACCGCAGTCAAGTCCTTTCTGCCTGCCCTGGAGGACGACCTAAGGACCCTAGGTGAGTCTTTGCCTCCTTCTACCCCTTGGCCTCTCCTTGGATTTGCTTTTCCCTTTTCTCAGCTCTCCAATACTCCCCCAGAGGGGCGCGCACCAGGCCCTCTTGTTATCTGAGCTCTTGCCCTTTGAGCCTTGCTTAGCTGAGCTACACCCCCTACCCACGTGCTTTGTCTACCCCAGCCACAGGTCCACGAGGTCAGCTTCCCGCATCAGGGCAGCACCCAGCCCGGCCTGAAGTCTGATATCACAGTGTGTTTTATTTTGTGGGTGAGTATGTTCAAATCCCAGGGCTTGAACTCAGGAGCTGAGCACCGAAGGCTGGGGCTCTACCACTTGAGCCACAGCTCCACTTAGCAACTCTTTGGTGCCTCGCCCATGCTTTCCTGCCCAGGCTGGCTTTGAACTGCAGTCCTCAGATATCAGCCTCTTGAGTAGCTGGGATTACAGGCATGATGCAGAGAGCTGGGAGGGGTGGACCCTCTTGGCGCTCACACTACTGCCCCTGCTCCTCCGTGAAGATGAGGTTTGGTGTCTCGGCCCGGCCACCCATCAACGGCTGTCAGTCGGGGACTCTCAACTTTGGGGGCACTTTCTCCTGGTCCAGCCAGAAAGTGC